TTTGCAGTTTCTCATAATCCATGAAAATTTTCGCACTTTAATCTACAAGATGATGAACCTCTGAAAGATGTTGTAAACGCTAAATTAAATTTGAGTTTGAGCAAAAATAAACAAAGAATAACTCTCAAAGAAAGATTTGTATCTGCTGAGAATTAATCAAATTAAATATACTGTTCTACGTTGCTGTTCAAGCAGGATACGAAGCATACAAATTTCTAGGGACACAAGGTGATTCCCTCCAAATCTTAGCGTGAAGCTTAAGCAATTCCTTGGCCTTTTCTTTAGTCTTGTTCCCGCAACTCACTTGAAGCACCAAACACATCTTCGCCACTACTCCCAATTGCAACATCTCTTGTAACAAACAAGGCGTCGCGCAAAACCTCCCAATGGAAAGCAAAACCCTAACAGCCCTTTCACTAGTTATCTGAGAGACCCTCAATATCTTCTTAGACACAACCGCAATAGCCGCACCATGATTCAAAAACTCTGCTCTTCCTTCAGCACACTGACATAACATATCAAGAACCACCATAGCCATCTCTGAGTTCCTTCTCTCGGATGAGAAAGTTTCATCCATTAGAAGCTCTATTATCATGGAGACTGCTCCAGCTGCCACAGCCTTGTGCCTATTCCTTCCCCCTGGACATACAATCACCAAGATCTGCATCGCTGATGTAGTTGCCTTGTGAGAGATCTGGTCATTCAAGATCTGAACCACCTCGTTGAAAAGCTCACGTTCCAACAATATGATCTGCATGGGTTCCGCAACTTCAAGGATATTCTTGAGAAGAAAAGTCGCATAGGCTCTTGACTCGTAGTTCCCACGTTGCATAATCTTTGTCAACGTCATCAAAACATTTGTTCCCTTCTTGTTGTTTAAAAGACTCTTGCGTGCTGTTTCGGATGCATCCAGATGATACAGTATGCTTAAAGCTTCGTCCATTAAGCTCCTCGAGGAATCAAACCGGTTCTCCAACATGTTTGACTGACACAAATCGTTGCATGTATCTACGGAGTCCCTGACGATCTTTGCCAAGAACTCTGGAACTCCTGCGGATTCTAAGCACCTTTTGTTCGCTGTATTCTCCGACACTATTTGACGTAGCCGTTTAAGGCATTTGACTTGGTTTTGATACGAAGATGAAGAATCTTTGATGAGTTTTTCGATCTCGGACTTAGAGATTAGAGGTTTTGGTGTTGCGATTCTCTCGATGCCGTGGGATGCGTTGAGCGCGCACCAAGATTGGATTAAACGGCGGAGAGTGTGGTTTGGTGTGAGATCGGTCTCGGATATGACTTGTTTGGTGACCGGACATGTGTTATTCTTACCGGTGAAGAGCCATTTCTCGATGCTTTCTCTGTCGTAGGTTATTCCGGTGGAAACTATGACCGGATCCTTCATGATATCTAGAGAGATGGGACATAGGAAGTAACAAGGAATCTCTATCTCTTGATCCATATAACTCGCAAGAAAATATAAAGAACAAGTAAAACTTGATGAATGAAATGAAGCTTTTGTTTCAGAAGTGTAGTAGATGAGATTTAGAGATGTGAATTGTATTGATTAAGTTAGCAAGAAGAAAGAAGACGAGTTGGGTTTTAAATATAAAGGATTGGGGAAATATTCAGCATTTTACAAAAGTCAAAACACGGGAAATACAAATATTTGCAAACGCTTTTGGATAGTTGTCCTATTTATTATTTTACTACGTAACGTATAATATAGATTTGAATTTTTGGCTATTTTAACGAAAACAAACTAAATATAAATGCTTTTATATTAGAAAGTTAGACGTATGGAGAGTATTGAATTGTCAAAGAGATTCGATTACGGCGAAGAAAGCGTAAATAGTACCCAAGTCATTGGATTGGTCGTGGCGGTGTTGAAGACAAGTGGTTGTATGCTGTGTGTTCGTTTTTACTCTCACATGCCATATTGCTGATTCCTCGCATCTTTTCTTGCCACCCTATCTTTGACTCTTTTTTTTTCGTTTTCTCCAAAATAAAAAAATTAAAAGAAAAGCTAGATAGTCATATTTCAAAACTACAGTAAATATTACTGTTGGGGAACTTGGAACCGAAATGTAGAGGAAGCTTATTGGGTTGTTGTCAAAACATGATTATTGTTTTCTTTTGGTGATGTTCTTTTTGGTGCAGACAAAAACTTCTACTTTGTTTCAGTTTGCAACTTTGATTAGGGCTGTGCATAATTATAGAAACATCTTTGAGTGTTTTAGAAACTTCAAAATTGGTTTTTTTTTTCATAATTAGTTGTGCATAGTTATACCATAAGTGGATTAAATCAAAATTGGCATATTTATAGAACCATCTTTGAATTTTTTATATACTCAATGTGAGATGAATATTTTTTTATTTACCTCTTAATTTATCTCAAATCAATTTAAAACATATGAGAAGCAATAATTCTTTTATAAATAAGAATATCGATATTAGACAAAAAGAAAGAAGAACTTTATCTGACATTTGAAACCGAATATCGATAGTTACACTTATGTACAGTAAAAGAATGAATGTCAAGGTATCAAATTCGTTCTACCACTAACGTGAATAATAACATCCGGATGAGAACGAATGTGAACTAGCAACTTATCAAAGTAATTTTAATTATTAACTAATTAATTCCCACAAAACGGTCAAAAATGACCAATACGTAAAGAAACAAGCGGACGTTTAAATGTTCTTTGTGCCAGCAAAAAAACGTTTTAATTTAGAGATCGCTGACTTGTCTTTCTTTGAGAAAATGTAAGAACTATATATTTGGTCAATCAAGTGAAACTATGATATGGGCCAATGGTAAAACAAAACCGTGCACACATATAGAACAACACTAAGTTAATTAGTATTATCATATTATATACAGTGTATTCAAATATTCATACTAGATAATGAAACTGCTAATGTAGTTATTACTATGTCAAGATGGGAAATAGAAAGCTCGGTCTTTGTTCTCTGTTGATTTATTCTATATAATTTGGGAGGTTGGATATTATATATATTGAAGGCGTCCAAATTAAGTTGATGGGTAATTCAAGTCTTAAAGCCCATGAGACCATACACAATTGTGTATGGTGTTATTCCTTTAGAATCCTTAGAAAAAATATTTTTTGAATTTTTAATTATTATTTTTTAGATTAAAAAATAATATCAATGAATCACGGGTTGCTACGTATAAGGATTCAAAAAAAAATTCTTACGTAAGGATTTTTTGGACAGAATCCTTAATTTTTAATGGGCTGCACTGATAATTTAATTATTTTTTTCCTAAATCTTAAAATAAGATAGGTTTTCCACGGTGGAATATGTACGTAGTACGTATCTTATATATTAAAACAGAAGTCATGACTTGACTTCATGTGTGATTTTCTAAAACATGGACTATTATTAGAAAGTCATGTTACATTAACTCTCTAATAATCTTAATATTATTATAGCTTATGAAAAATCATATCTATAATAATAAAGATACGCTTAACAATTTGGTTTTGGTAAACTACCTCACACTTTTCAATTTTGTCACGCAAAATATGTCAATAGATATAAGTTTAGGAATCTTCTATTATTTATAAATAAATATGTCAATAATAGTTAAATGCATCCACAATATATTAACAAAATTCACAGATTTGTAATATGGAATATTTATATACCCTAACAAAAGTTACATGCTATATATACTAGATAAATTTATTTCGATGTAAATTTTTAAAATTGTAGTATTTGAAAAAAAATTGTTTAAAAATTTCCTTTTTAATAAAATTCTTTATATTATTAATTTATGAAGCTATAAGTTTAGTTTTTAGCAAAAAATTCTTCGACATTTATATTATCTTTGCAAATTAAAGTATACTAATATTTAATCAAGCTCTATTTATAAAGTTTGAAAAACATGTGTAATATAGAAAATTTGAAACAATCTATTTGATTAAAACACATATTATATAATATTATGTTTGAAAAACATTTACTATACATATCGTAAATATGTGATTACTATAATATATACCAATCTACAAGTGAAAACAAAATGTTTATATAACTAACTATAAATGAAAACAAACACCTGCGCGGTTGTGCGGGTCAAAATCTAGTAATTTTCTAAATAGGAATGAGTGGGGTAGAGATGAGTTATTTGACATGGGACCAAGATGAAAATGAAGTGTATACAGCTAAAATACATTAAAAATATACAGCTCATACAGGCTACCACAATGGATTGAATTAAAATATACTAGAAGATTTGGACCTTGCATTATTGACTATTCTACATCTTCTTGGGCATAACAGATTGTTATTGTTTTGGTATTCCTATAGAAAAGTAGGGGTTTGATTAGCAGAGTTGTGCAAATTAATTGGTTATATAACATACATTGATATAGTTATGTACATGCGTGTAGCATCAACTAAAGTTAACTCCCTAAATTCTCTACCTATCTCTTCTTTCTTGTTCTGCAGGTTATATAAATGTGCACAGTGTCTTCATGCATACATACCGTAGGATGGTTTGTCTTCATCACTTGACAATATGATTGGGCATAGGAAGTGAAATACGTACTCCACTAATAATAGCTTCTTCATCATTATTGTAGTTACCCTAATTAATCACTTCCAACATGTCACTTTCTTTTCTATTTATATATTCTTCGGCCCAAAATGGAAACTTTTAAGAAAATGTACATTGGAAGAAAGCTTAAAATGATGACGAAGGAGACTTAGGTTCGGTTCCAAGGTCTGGACCATCGTTGTTTTTTTCGTCAAACATCCATATGATACAAAGTAATGCTAATTATAACTCAGCCATGGCGGATTCACTATTTTTATCCAAATTGATTAGTTTTTTTTCTTTAGTCGATCTTCGTGCTTTCCACTAATCTCCCCTTTTGTTTCTCCATATCTTTTCCCTGAAAATTTGATTAATTTCAAACTTTCAAACCAGAGAAGTAATCGGAGGGAGAGAGGAGAGAGGGTAGAGAGACATAAGGATGCCTCCTCCTCCCGAAGAAGAAGCTCAACCCAAAACCGATCAAACCTCCGAACGCGACACCACTCCACCACCACCGCCTACACCGCAATCTCAACCGCCTCAATCGCAAACTTACCCACCAGTATATGGCTTTCCAGGTTATCCTCAAGCCCCATACCCAAACTATCCAAACGCACCTTACAATCACCAACAATATGCTTACGCGCAAGCCCCACCAGCTTCCTATTACGGTTCTTCTTACACACCTCAGCAAAACCCGGTTTACCAAAGACCGGCTCCGCCCGCTTTCTTCAGAGGAATCCTCACCGGTTTAATCTTTTTAGTAGTCTTCGTCTGCGTCTCCACCACCATGGCATGGCTCTTCCTGCGTCCTCAAATCCCAGTTTTCTATGTAACCAATTTCTCAGTCTCTAATTTCAACCTAACCGAACCAGTTCTCTCCGCTCAATGGACGGCCAATCTCACCGTCGAGAATCCTAACACGAAACTGACAGGCTACTTCGATAGAATCCAAGGGTTCATCTATAACCAAAACCCGGTCGGAGATGAAGACTACTTGGCGATGGCGTATTTTCAGCCGGTTTTCGTGGAGACCAAGAAATCTGTTTCGGTCGGAGAAACCCTAATTGCGGGACAGAAAGGACAGCGGAAAGTTCCAGGTTGGGTCGAAGAAGAGATGAAGAAAGAGAGAGATATAGGAACGGTGACGTTTAGTCTGTGGATGGCTGTTTCGGTCACTTTTAAAACCGATGGTTGGTCGGCGCGGGAGAGAGAGCTTAAAGTGTTTTGTGGGAAGTTGAAAGTCCCGTTCGAAGGAGGATCAGGAAACGGTGTCGTTTTGTTGCCGAAGCCTCTTCCTTGTTTGGTTTACGTTTGATCCTTTTCCCTCGGAATTTTTCTTCTTTCTTCATATCTCTTGTAATGTTTGATTGTTTACAAGCTATAGAAATCTAGTAAACGTACGAAGTTACAAAGGGAAAACCAATTAGGTTCAATTGCAAATCTAGATGGAGAAAAGAATTCCAGTCATTATTAAATCAATTCTGCAATCGTTTGAATGTGTACAATATGAATGTGATATATAAATCTCTGAACCAAATAGATTTATATGACTGGTCAATCTATGGAGTGCTTGATCGAGATTGACTAATAAACAATCAAGAACGATCAAGTGAACACCCAAAGATATAAGCAAAGGGCTGGTCACAGGTGAAATGATATGGAGTTAAGAGGAGTTTTAGGTTTAAGGGCTACCCGCCGAGAATCCGAGTTAATGGTTGAATGAACCTATTGAGGGTAAATGGATACAATCAAAAAACCAGTACCAAAGAAAATAGACAAAATTCTAGGTCTTGGTTCACAATGAATTGCAAATTAATATATATGAACGTACATAACTAGGGGACCTAAATTATTTTTGTGGCCAGCGCATAAAAACTATAAGCCGGGCCTGGATTCAAGAAAGAGCCGTCGGAGCTCCTGAGCGCAAAATTGTTAACTCGATGAATCTGCATGTGGTCACACGATTAAAAATATTGAATGGGTTTGGGTCCTCATAAACACGGACCAGGTTTGTTGGACATGAAACATCATCATTTGGAAACTTCTCCTTGTTTTGAGTGTCAAATTGCGTCAGAATGCACAAACAGAAATCACCTCTCTTTTTTTCTACGTCAAGGAAAGCTATAAAATATTACTTTTTCATTTCATTTTTTGTTATGTAACTTCAATTTTTCGCTTTTGAAATTAGAATTTAGCTCAAGAAAAAAAAAATGATAAACAGATCTCTAAAATTTCACGTAAATCCATACTTTATCTCTTATATTGTATCTTAAATTGAATATCATAAATTTTAATCAGCGTAAGTTGGCCGAGAAAGCAAAAAAGTTCTAATACGGATCGATTCGATACGCGCTGGCCACAAAAATAATTTAGGTCCCCTAATGGGTACAAACGTAGACTGGTTCCGGGCACAAAAGAATTAGTCGGTTGGTCACGGCCGCCGGATCATCTCCTGGTTATTAAAAAGATATCATAAATTTTTCTTAATTTTAAACATGATATTAACTATTAGGGAAGCAAAATATGTTTATGTTGAATTAATTATTATACTAAATATTGGTAAAAACAGAAAATCATCAATCTTTAAAAATAAATCCATAGCATTTTTATATACCTTTTTGGTTGAAACAAAAAAAAAGATGATTTTACATCTTTGTCGGAAAACCAAACAATATAAATAACCTCTTCCAACAAAAATTAAATCTAAGTGTCGGAGCGCATATTAGATATCCTTTTACCACTAGGTCAATTGCTCATTATTTTTATATACAATTTTGTTTGATGTACTAAATATATAGTATAGTAATCAACATAAACATTTTTTGTAATACTCCATCTTTGTTTCATACTATAAATAAATTTAGTGGTGCTTCAAATATAAGAAGTTATTTTTAAATTTCTATGTAACTTTTGCAGTTATTGGGTATATTGTAACCAATCAAATTGTAGATACTTATTTATGATTGGTTCAATTATATTTAAAATAACAATATGCTTATATGTTTATTTTGTGAGATATGAAGAAGTTCCATCAAATTTATGAACTTTCTGTTGAAACGAATAAAATTAAATCATAACTAAACCAAGAAGGGGAAATGACTGGAACCTAATATAGTTTACGCCGATATGGTAATACGTTTTAAGTTACTTATAATGGTTACAGTCGAATGCGATTATAATGTGTTTATTCATTTATACACGATATTATTATATAGATGGTTGGTAATGAATGCGTATTTTAAATAGTAATAAAATGGTTGGTGGTTTACCTTTATAGAATTAACATAATAATAGAAATGAAAATATAGTTATTAACACTCAAAGACAGTATTGAGATTTTTATTATCAAAAATGACAGTTTCAACTACTTGGGTACTTTTTTGTAACTAAAACAAAACAATTGTTAAGAAAATTAACTCATGTGACCAAGGTGGTCCCACACTTGACAATTTGCATTATCTCTCTTCTCTTTCTTTTTAATCATCACCCCGTTTTCTTCTTCCTTTTGATTCAAACATGTCCGATTTCTTCCATTTTTATTTTGTAAATCACATTATTTTTCTGTAAATTATCTTTTTTTGCATCTTTTCTTTTAATTTAGGGGTAATTTTCACAATATTCATAGTAAACACGAAAATGAAGTGTATACACATTGCAATTTTATTTGACAATTTGCACCGATTTTGGACTTTTTTGTCCTTTCACACGCATGTGCGTCGGTTTGAGGCGAATGAGCAGAAATATTGTAACATACATCTAACACTATTCAGACCTGTATGCACACATATCACATACTGTAGCCATTTTTGATACAGAACATACTAAACTATACAACTTTTTAGATAGTATAACGCTTTGAGTTTACACACCTCAACTAGATAGACAACCAACAATGAGTCCCACATGTTCTCCACAACTAGTACCACATAGCATAGTATGTGGAGGGTTTAATGTGGTAGATACAAAATTGTTAACTAACCTATATCTAAACCCTAATGTCAATGTCAAAGTTTAGATTTATGGTTTAGGATATAAAATGAAACGTTCAAAACACCAATTCTAAGAAACTATACTAGTGTATATATAATATAGTATAATTAGCTGAGAAACAAATGCGATGTCCGCTAAGGTCTATATGGTTCTAATTTCATATGTGTTGCAAAAGAAGGGATAACAAATAAAAGCTAAACCCTAAAACCAACCCCTAAACCTTAACCCCTACACCTTAAACCCCTAAGCCCTAAAACCTAAACCCTAACCCATAAGCTAGACATTTCACTCATCTGCAGCCCATAGGCGTGTGTATAACAAACACTACAACTTCATACTATTCTATTTATAATGTCAATATAAAACATAATTTTTCAAACATAATTGTAACCATAGGAAATAATTTAAATTCTTTAGTATTAATTATTTGTATGGTTTAATGCGGTAGATAAGTGAATAATACAAAAGACATATTTATTCGTAAAACAAATGAATTATAATTTGCGAAAGAAGAGTTAATATAATACAAATAATATAAATTTAT